TACACTGCAGGTATCTTCTTCTGATTTTCTTCCTTCTCGTCCTTCTAAACAACAACATGACATTCGATCTCTTCTCTCACAAATGGTTAGGGTTTAGGGTTTAGGGTTTAGGGTTTAGGGTTTAGGGTTTAGGGTTTTGTATTTGTTGTATTATGTTGTATATTTCTTTTCTTTTTTTATTTCCTTTTATTACACTAAACAAATAACAATTAAATAAGTAAATAAATATAATAAATAAATAAATAAATAAATAAATAAATAAATAAATAAATAAATATTTTTTCTTTGTGTCTTGCAGTCTGGTAGAAGAGCGATTCGTTCCCAACTAAGCAACAGTACCCAATTAACATCTAATAATTCGCAATGGGGGGCCCCCCCTGTAGAGGGGGGCCCCCAAGGGGATGAGGGGCCCTCCTCCTTGGATATAGCACCTTCGTGGGGGGCCCCCTCATCAGGGGCCCCCCTTAATCATGACTCCATCGGGGGGCCCCCCCCTCAGCCTACTACGGGGACTAGAAGGACTAGGCAGCCCCTTCCCCTAGGGGGCCCCCCAGAGACGTTGGGGGCCCCCCTAGATGCTGGGGGCGGCCCCCAAGGGAATGGGGGGGCCCCAGGGTACAGTTTAGGGGGATGGAGTAGGAGGGCCCCCATGGGTACAGGAGGACTTGAGTTAGGTATAGAGGGAAATAATAATGTAAGATAAGCACATAAATAAATAAATAAATAAATAAATAAATAAATAAATAAATAAATAAATAAATAAATAAGTAAATTAGTTAATTAATTAATTAATTAATAAATTAATTAATTATGTTTATTTATTTATTTATTTATTTATTTATTTATTTATTTATTTATTTATTTATTTTATTAGGGTAATGAGGAAATAACACAAAGACAAGAAGGAGGAAGAAGTTTACAATGGAGAAGAAGATAACAAATAAATAAATCTTTTTTTTTCTTTTTTTTTCTTTTTTTTTTCTTTTTTTCTTTTATTTATTTATTCTTATTCTTTTATTTATTTTATTTATTTTATTTCTTTTTCTTGTTTTTTTTTCTTCTTTTTTTTCCCCCTTTTATTCTTCTTTTTTTTAATTATAAATAGTGAATAAACTATCCTCTATAAGATGAGGAAAACAATAGTACTATTAATTCTTATTTATTTATTTATTTATTTATTTATTTATTTATTTATTTATTTATTTATTTATTTATTTATTTATTAATACAACACACTATTAATTTTATTATTATTTTGTTTAGTTTATCCTGTTGTTATTTTATTTTTAGCGGAGGAGATATTGATTAGGGTTTAGGGTTTAGGGTTTAGGGTTTATCGGTTCTATGGTTGTATACTATACGGGCAAATAAATAGTTTTTTTTTCCTTGTTTTGTTTATATACAATAAAAAGAATAAAATAATAAATTAAATAAGATTAAATAAATAAATAAAACAATAAAAAGTAACAAAAAAGAATAAAAAGAAGATTATTTCTTCTTTCTTCTATTATACACATAAATAGAGCTAGCTGTATGCATGCACGAATATTTATTTTATTTTATTTATTTATATTTATATATTTATATTTATATTTATTTGTATTTATTTATACTTATATAATAAAATAATATAAATATGCAAAGATAAGAAGTAACAATTTATTTTATTAGTTAGTGGTGACCTTCTTGGGGTGTATGCACAGCTACAGCAACAAGAGCAGCAGCAAGCGACGAGCATTGCTGCTGCATATACACCTGAATTAATTGATTAATTAATTAAATATTTAATTGAATTAAATATAATTATTTATTTTATTTAAATTAAAATATAAAAAAGAAAAAAAATAAAAAAATATATTTATTTATTTATCTATTAATGGCTGTGGGGAGCGGTAGTTGTATAGAAAAGGAAAAAGGAAGAAAAGGGCATAAAAAAGAAGAAAAAGTTTATTTTTTTCTTCTTTTTTTTTAATTAAACAAATATAATTAGTTAAATTTAATTTATTTAGTCCTTTTTTATTCTTTTCTAGCCGTAGAAGAAGGAGGAACGGCAGCAGCAACAAGCGATCATCAGCAGCAGCAGTAGCAGCAGCAGCAGCAGCAACAGCAGCAGCAGCAGCAGCAGCAACAGCAAATTTATTTCGTCTTTTTTTGGGGCTTCTTCTCTTCGTCTATGTTGTTTATATATTTTTCTTTTTGTTGTTTTTTTTTTTGCCAATAAAAAATAAATAAAATAAATAAATAAAATAAATAAATAAATAAATAAATAAATAAATTTTTCTTCTTTTTTATTCATAAAAAAAACAAGCTGCATATACACCTGAGATATATACGTGGGGCTTTCTTTGCGACTTGGCCAAAAAATAAGACCTGATTAGGGTTTAGGGTTTAGGGTTTAGGGTTTAGGGTTTAGGGTTTAGGGTTTAGTGTGTGTCTATTATACAATGATGTAATAACTTTTCTTTTTTTCTTTTTTTTCTTTTCTTGCAATGTTTATAACAAATTATTTTATTTCTTTTTCTTCTTTTTTCCTCTTTTCTTTCTTTTTTTCTCCTCTTCTTCTTCCTCTTCTTCTTCCTTCTTCTTCCTTATATATACCATCAGTACATAATAGTACTGTAGCAGCGTAAACTAAACCCTAAACCCTAAACCCTAAACCCTAAACCCTTATTTTTTTTTTCTTCTTTTTCTTATCGCTAATGCCTTCTCTATCCCCTAATACAACAGATACACAAACCCTAATTAATCCCCTTGTGCTGCAGCCATCAAGCAGCAGCAGCAGCAACAGCAGCAGCAGCAGCAGCAGCAGCAGCAGCAGCAGTTCGGGAGACGCAGGGGTTGTATCGGCGGAGAGGGAGCAGCTGCAGCAGCTGCAGCAACAGCAGCAGAAGCAGCAGCAGCAGCAGACCATCTCTTGCCCACATTATTGTGTTTTAAGTCAAGCTTTGGGGGCCCCCCTTATAGGAAAGGGTCCATTAGAGGGGGCCCCTCAGGGTATAGGGGGCCCCCCGGAGGGTTTAGGGCCCCCTTCCGTGGGTTTAGGGCCCCCTTCTTCTGGGGGGCCCCCCTCAGGTTCCCCATTAATGGAGGGGTCCCCAGGGTCGCCTGAATCCCCTGGTTCCTCTGGGGGCCCCCCTGGGGCCCCCAGGGGCCCCCAGGGGCCCCCCGCCTCGTTAAATG